GGATGACCACAATTAACCCTCGACAATAGTACCACATGCCCAAGAGGATTTTGGACATGACGCAAGCCATAGACCGCCTAACCTTAGGTCAGTCAACCACATTACACTCCCACTGAAGTGCACAATACACTATAAACTATTTTATTTGTATGCTCTCTAGGCCATTAAAAGCCACAAACCCCAACATTTCCCACTTGGCCTTTGAAGGCTGTAAAATCACTCCATTTCACTCTCTCAAACCCATCCCATGTACATGCTTGACAAATGCACTCTCCACCATTGCTTTTGTCAAAGAATCCACAACCATAGCATCTGTAGGGAGATAAACGACCTCAAACTCTCTCGCTCGAATCGTATAGCGAATGTGCTAGTGGTTTGCCTTTATGAAATTGTAGCTCTTTAGCCATACAAATCATTGCCTGGTTATCGCAGAAGAACCTCACACACACAAGCACTTAACTGGATCGACTATGAGCTGATTCAGGAACTTCTTTAACCAAACGGCTTCTTTTGCTGTAGTCTACCTCCATAGTCGAAAGTGCAACGATGTCCTATTTTGTTGAGCACCAGGAAACAGCTCAACTGGCAAGTGTGTAGATTTTCCTAGACGTGGACGTCATTCATTTGAATAATCTTAATAATCCGCATCTAACTATCCCTGTATTTGAAATTCTGAGCCTCTTCCATAATTGAGTGCAAGACCAATAGTTCCCTTTAAATTTTGAAGAACTCTATTGCCTTCAAGGGCTCCATGCCTGGATTAATCTAGAACCTAGTAATCACACTCATAGCAAATGACAAGTCCAATCTCGTCCCTAACATAACATACATCAGCGACCCAACGGCACTTCTATATAAAATTCTCTGCATGGCCTCTTTTTCTTCTGTTTTTGTGGGACACATGGCTAAGCTTAACTTGTCTTCTTATCACATGGGCTTACAATTTTCCATTTCAGATCTTTCCAATTTTTTCTTGCAATATGTCTCTTGCAATAGTGGTATAGGTCCCTCTCTTTTGTTTCTTGTGATCTTAAACCCTAGAACACACAAAGCCTCTCCAACGTCTTTCATATTGAAGTGTTGTGATAGGAAAGCTTTAGCTTCCAGAACAAGAGTCATCGAACTACTGGCAATTAGCTTGTTGTCGACATACAAGGAGAAGAATACAAGATCAATCCCACTAAACTTGACATACATGAAATAATCTTCCTTGGTTAGGCATGAACTCTTGACAACATCTAGTGAAACTTTATTTACCACTGTCTAGGAGGTTCTTTTAGGCAATAAAGAGATCTCCTAAGTTTATACACTAGGTTCTCTATTCACCTTTTTGTTAAACCCTAAAATCATGATGGCTGATTTTTGGGATGGATGGCTCTAATTAATCTCTCATCCCACAGATTTCTTAATTATCCTAAAACGTTTTGCTAAAAATTAGGTAAGACAAGAATCCCACTCAAACTAAGAGAGGGAATCTTATTCAAACTAGGAGATAGATTTTTTCTAGATTTCCTTCAATTTAAAGGAGTTTGAACCTATTTAAAACAGTCACAAGACCTTTCTCTCTCCCTCATGCACCAAATTTGGGAAGACCTTTCTCTCTCCTTAATGCACCAAATTTGGAGGGATCTCTCTCCCTTCTCTCATAGATTATCGAACCAAAATTAAGGCATAGCTTTAGACAGGAACGAAAATGGCTGTTGGGAGGGCCTTTCATCGCATGATGAGGAAGTTCCAGTCCCAATCAACTTTTGTAAAGATTGCAAAGTTCATAGACTAACATTTACAACTAAGAGATGCATGTTTCTCAGTTAGTCTAAGAGGTCTAAGGACCTTAAACTTTCCCTTAACCCACCCTAAGCCTGGGTATAGGAGGTGGTTTGCGTTAGATGGGCATCCAACGTAAAACTTTAACTTTGCTACAAGTTTTCATGCAGCAGACCTCAATTAATTCGGATAAGGCTTGGATGATGATGATGATGACGACGATGATCTTAACTAATTCTCCATTTCTACTTCTATTATTACTAAATTTGCATTTTATTTATTTTGTCTTAGTTCGCCTAATTTTAAAACTTTTAGATTCTAAAGCATCCCATTAAAGTTCGAACTTTGTGTTTATGCCATCTCTAGTCTCATCAATGAAACTATGTCATCCACAAACAACATACACCAAGGGACCCCATCGTGTAGATGTCTAGTTAACTCGTCCATAACCAAAACGAAGAGATATGGGCTCAATGTTGACCCCTAATGTAAGCCTATTGTCAATGAAATCACACTTGTCTCTCCATTAGTTGTCCTCACATTAGTTAATACTCCCTTTTACATATCATTAACCAAGTCAATATATGTTATTGAAACTCCTTTCTTTTCCGACCAAGTCAATATATACTTATCATTAACCAAGTCAATATATACCCATCAAATTCTCTCTTTATAAACCCTATTGTATGCTTTCTCTAAATTAATAAAGACCATAGTTGTTGAAGATAGAAGCGGGATCGGTTCGGGATTCATTGAACCGCCCTATAGTGGAAGCTCCCTTGGGTTGGGATCAACGTCCATATAATGAACAAGACAAAGAACGAGATCCATAGGTTTATGGGAGCAAGATCCCATGTCAATGGGTTCAATGTTTTGACTAACAAGAATCAAAGCTCCACTATACATAAAAATGAGTTTGTCAAATAAAGTTGGTACGCGTTTCCTTGGTTAAGGAATCAAGGATTAAGTATACCATAGAACGGGTTTCCTATTGTTCTAATATCGATATTTTTAAAATAGAGGAATCAAGGTCCTCATCTGGTTGGCCCCAGCAACCCAGAATCCTTCCACTCGACGGTCATCTTTTTCGAATGTAGTCTCCTCTGCTTCCATTGTTTCTCAAAGGCGGGCTCTTCGAAGGGGCTAGAGGACAAGATGAACTACTCTCTCTCACACACACATGTAAAAGAAGCTTTTTAAAGCTTGAAATGAAAGCATATATTCTCGCTCACAACTAAGATGATTCATAATTGTGATTTAAGAATCTAAAACAATAGGATATCATAAATATAAGATTTTAAATGAAATGTATATTCTCACAACTAAAAGGGATGACTTACACAATAAGACTTAATAAAAAACGGGTCATTCTAGACTATGCCTAGTTCAAATTAAGAATCTAAAATAATGGACTTCGTGCTATGTGAAAAAGGAACTGAATATTCCCATCATGGAACTTATGATTCCTAAATAATGGGAACTTGGGACAATGGTGGTAATCTTTAACCATGTATAATTCGTTAATGAAAGTAGATCCCACAAACATGGAACCCAAGATTTTAATGAAACAAAACCTTGGCCCATGGTTGATGGGAGTGGAGATCTATTTCGAAATGGAACTGGATTCCACAGATGGATGGAACGTTGTCCATTTTTGGGAGCGAGATCCCAAAATTGAAAAACCGGGATCCCTACAAGATCCCTTGCAGGAACAGTGAGATCGAGGTTTCGAAGCGGGATCGTCACCTTACCCACAAGGCTCCCTTAACTGTGATAAAGACCATGGGGAGGTCATTTATCTTCTCCTTGAACTTCTTAATCAATTGCCTAAGTAAGAAAATAACCATTATTGGTCGACCTCCCCAACATAAATCTGAACTGAATTTCTCATACACATTTCATGTCTTAGTCATTGCTCAATCACTCTTTTCCATAGTTGCATCGTGTGGCTCATAAATTTGATCCATTGATAGTTCATACAACTTTGTATGTCTCATTTGTTCTTGTAATTAAGTACCACATCTTTTCCTCTATTCAACTAGGGATAAAAATAAATTAATGGGGAAATATCCTCATACCCTCTATTTTTGGTTTTCATATCTCAATAGACCCAAAGATTCAAAATATTTCTCCTAACCTCCTTACTAACTTTACCCACTTTTAATTACTTTTTTAGCCCTAACAAATATAAAAGAGACATGATCATTCTAAACTCTTCCCCTCTTTACGTGAAATATTCCCCAAATTTCTCTCTAACATTCACCCTCTTTGTCTCTCTGACGGAGGAGAGAGAGAGAGTGAGGCATGGGGGAGAGAGAGTGGGAAAATACGTGGAGAGAGAGATTTAGAGAAAAATCACGTAAAGAGATAGAGGGGATGGTGTTTAGAAAGGATATGTCTTTCTTATATTTGTTTGGGGTAAAAAAATAGGTTTAAAGGGAATAAAGTTAGCTTAGGGGGTTAAAAAATATAAAACTTAGAAATTTTATGATCCGAGATATGTTTTGAAACCTTTGGTCTATTGAGATATGAAACTTAAAAATGGGGGGTATGAGGATATTTTCCCTAAATTAATTTGTTTTTTTTGGGAGGTCTGTATGGTATTTTCTCAAATATTTAAGTAGAATTCCAGGATAATCTGCAAACATCCTGGAGAGGGAAGCAGAATCCACCCTTTAAATCATAAAAGTTCTGCTAAATTTTCAGAAGTACGCATGGCTTGCTGGGTAGACCATTTGTGAAATTCCCAAGAGACTAGTTGAGTGCCACTGCTTTGGGGCAACCACTTTCTAGGCCCACACATTCAGAGTCACTTTTGATGCACATGCATGCACAAAAGGGCAAGCATCAATATATTAATAGATATGCTAATAATCAAATAATCACCAAATCAATCATGTGAAGAACTGAAAAGTCAAAAAAGATATTGTGGGGCACCTTAGTGTTTAAGGATGACAACATACAATAGAAATGAAATAGAAAAAATGAAAAAAAGGCAAGGAAATGGTCTAATAAAATCATATTTCTTTAATCATTGGATTCCACATTAATGTCTGAATATCCCACACCTATATCCAAGAAGGCAAATATCCGAGCACCAGGCAAATAGATAGACGTAGTGCGCATATAGATATCAAGTTGAATATCACTCAATCAACCATTCAAGTTTGCTAGACACATGCCGTTCTTGATTGGTTTATGAGCATAAAGGCCAATAGAATATCATTATTTACCATCGCAAAAAGACTCAATGCTAATGCCAGCATTCCCCATGCGCTTATGTGGAGTAACAAGGTTTGCATCCCATGCAGCAATCTAAGGTTTCAAGACAATTAGCCACATAAATAAAATAAGTATTAAAAGAAATAACACTAGAAATCATATCCAACTACATTTAAGCCTTAATCACAATGGGTTTATGGACTAGTAAAAAAGTATTTCTAGATATTATTGATAAGAATAACTTCTGATTCAACCAAGTTAGCTCCAAGAATGCTTACACAAACAAAGGAACAATGTAAAGGAGCAACATGAATCGTAATAGGTACTATTTATATGCCAAAATCAGTTAAATAAATATCGGATATCAAAAGCTGTGAAAGATAAAAAGTTCTATATAGTTTGTAGAGAAAGAATACTATGTATCGGAGCATTGTGTCGCCATAGTCCAAGGACACGTAATTACTGAAACTGAACAGAGGGTCTCATATATTCCAATGAAACCCCAGTGAGCTGTGACTTGGTCCAGTTTTCATTCATTGAATTGCATACTTTTCTCCACACTTTAAAGCCCTCAAGTATCCAACTTTCCACGATATCAAAGTGGTGACTGACCCCATAGAAGCAGTTCATCCTTCCCATGCAATAATTGAGGGAAATCAAGAACTTTCCAGGATGAATGGTGCAACAATGATGCTTATTGTAATTGTGTGGCATCTGAATTCAATGGGAATGGAGATAGATTTTAGGGATGGACTCGTGTTTCCTAATACGGCACAAGAAATTAGGGACGCAAATTTTCTCAAGGAGATGACTGTTGGGATACATGGCCTTTAAAGGCCCTCGTGTTAAGGTTTTTGGTCATATCTCTTGTATATGTCACATGTGATAGTGTACTCATGCATTTTACAGCGTTAGCCATGAATTGGCTAGTTAAGTCCTTAACCCATTGCGTGCAAGCTCTTTCAATGGAACTTTCCAAAGGCTTTTTGATGTAATCGATGCTTCAAAAAGCGGGCCGCCCAGCACTTGGGCGGCCGCCAAGGCGGTTCTAAGGGCCTAGGCGCATCGCCCAAGCCTAGGCGCCCAAAAACAAGCGGCATAACATAGGTGCCCGCCTAGACGGCCGCCCAAGGACAGCACCCCACCCAGAGGCAGAAGAAACACTCGGTGGGGACACTTTTTGTCATTTTTTTTATACTAAGGGCCCAAAATGTAGGTTTTAGGTTCATTTGAAACCTAAAACTCATTAGAGCCCATTTTAGAGAGAAAGAGAGCCCCCAAAAAACTAGTTTTCGGTGATTTCTTTAGAATCGAAGGGTTTCTCAAAGTTATGATAAATTGATCAAAACATCACCCATTGATATTAGATTTAATTTTTGATGTTTTATAAATCTATTGGGGTTTTTTTTTAGAAGATTTTGAGTCCTTAGAAGCATCTTTAAGGTGGAAGTTTGGAGATTGAGCAATCAAAGTAAGTGAGTTTTTTTATTGCTTGCATATGTTGTATTATTTTGAGATGTCTTCTTCGAGATCTATTAAGAGTGGTGATCCCAGTTGGAAATATGGCTACAACCCGGATCCTAGTGAAATAAATTGCATAAAATACAAGTTTTGTGAGAAAGATACAAAAGGGCATTAACGGGTTCAAGAAATATCTTGTCGGCATCAAGGGAGATGTTGCCCCATATAAAAAGACTCCTGATGTTGTTAAAGAGGAAATAACCAATTTTATGAGTACGGTAAAAATGAAAAAAGATGAAAAATTTAACTCCATAGCAGAGATTAGGTCTGGAGTTCGGGTCAATTATGATGATGATAGTGATGAGGTTGGGATTGGGGAGGGATGTCAAGAGGTAGAACAATACATTATTAGGGGAAAAGGAAAGGGAGTTGTAATAGCCTTCTGGTTTTGGGAGTAAGAAGCCTCGGGTTAGAGGCCCCTATGGATAGTTTTTTACCTCGGCCTAACCCTGAGGTTGCAAGAGAGAAAACAAAGAAGAAACCCACCATTGAAAATAGAATGAAGAAGGGAGAGAGAAATAGAGCTGCTTATTATGTTGGCGAGCATTCCTTTCAATACCGCTCGCCTAAGCAGCTTTTATGCCGCAATAGAGGCAATTGGCCAATTTGGGCCTGAGATGAAACTCCCAACCCCATATGAGCTTTCAGAGCCTCTTTTGAAAAAAGCGGTGAGTGTCACGAACGAAGCTGTAGTAGTTAAGAAGGATGCATGGGCTCAGTATGGGGTTTCTATTATGACTGATGCTTGAAGTGATAGGAAGAGAAGAAGTCAAATGAATTTTCTTGTGAATTGTCCTTTAGGGACTGTTTTTTTGAGGTCCATTGATGCCTCTGATCATATCCACGATGCCCATTACATATTCCAAGTTATAGAAAAGGGAATCAAGGAGGTTGGGCAGCAACTTGTTGTACAAGTTGTCGCAGACAATGCTGCTCCTAATGTTGTTGCAGCTAATTTGTTGCACATAGCTTATCCAAGAATCTTTTGGGAACCATGTGCAGCACATTATATAAACCTCATGCTTGAGGTTCTTTGCAGTTTAACCGAGATATCAGGTGTAGTGAAGAAGGCAAAGTCAGTTACATATTTTATTTATAGCCACCATCTCACACTCAGCATGATGCATAGATTTACAAATAAGAAAGAGATTGTGAGGCCTAGGGTTACGAGATTTGCGACCTGGTACTTATGCCTAAATAGCATACATTCAAGGAGAGTGCAGTTGAGGCAGATGTTTACCTCAGATGACTGGAGAGCATGCAGGTGGTCCAAGGATCAGGTTGGGAAGAAGGTAAGAGATATTATCCTTTCTAAGGCTTCTTGGCAATATTTTTCCTCTTGTCAAAGTCCTTTGCATGGTTCATAGTGACAAGGTTTCTATGGGCTACATATATGACGCTATGGAGAAATGCAAGAGAGAGATAACCCAAAATTTTGATGATGATGAGAACCTCTACAAGCCTATTTGGAAGATTATTGATGAGAAGTGGGATAGGCAGCTACATCGGCCATTGTATGCAGCTGGTTATTATTTGAACCCAGCTTTTTTTTATGTTGACAAGGATATACACACAAATGGTACAATTATGACTGGACTTAATAAGTATGTAGATGTGCTAGACCCTGATCCTGATATCCAAGATATTACATGCACTGATAAGCTGATAAATTACAAGGACTCATTAAAGTCTTTTGGGAGTCCAATGGCGTTGAGGCAAAGGACCAAAATTGGTCCAGGTAGTAATAATATTCTTAAGTTCATCAAGTTCAAGTAATCAAGTTTCATTTTTATAATTATATTATTTATTTATGATTTTATTCTATATCTTTGCAGCCAATTGGTAGAGCCAACAAGGGTGTAGTTCTCCAAATTTACAAAAGTTGGCCACTCGGATCTTAAACTTAACCACTTCCTCATCCGGTTGTGAGCGCAATTGGAGTACTTTTGAAGGGGTAAGGCCGTAAGGGTAATTTGTATAATTTATTAATAATATATGAACCATAGTTTTAATTAATTTCATTTGATTTTGTTAGTTTCATACAAAGAAAAGGAACAGGCTTGAATTAAAGAGGCTCAATGACCTAGTCTATGTCAAGTATAATCGATTCTTGAAGTACAAGTTTGCTAAAAGAGACCCATCAGATCAAAAAATATGGACAATGATATAGAGTGGTTAGTTGATGATGATGAAGTCGAGGGGCATGAAGGATTGACATAGGATATGGTCATGGATGCTTTAGGGACAGTAGCTGACCCTCCTAGGGCTACTAAATCTTCTGCACAGAGGACAAGGGTGGAGGAAGAAGTGGCAGATTCAGAAGAGACGGAAGACGACGAACAATATGTCGAGGAGGGTGACGACTCTGATGAATATGATGCAAATGCAACTGACCCTACTTTTCCTGATGATGAATGATGAATGTTGAATAATGATTAAACTTTGAACATTGATTGAACTATTAAAGACTCTTTTGAGTCTTCAAGTATTACTTTCATTTTTGTTTTCTTCCTCTTGGTTGCGTATTGTGGATAGTGGATTTGTAGTTCCACTGGTTTGGTATTTGGTAACTTTGGTTTGGTAATTTGGTTGGTAAATTTTAAGTTTTAATTGGATATGGAGCGACATGGTTATGCTTATGGAGTGTGTGCTAATGTGTAGTATACTTTGAATTTTGATGTGGCCTAAATACTTAATTTTTATATTTTATACAATATATAACTGTAGAATCCTTTTTGGATTCAATTGGGCCGCTCAGGTTCTGGGCGCCCGCCTAGGCACTGGACGGCCTGGACCCCCCAGGCCACCTAGGACCCGTCTAATGCTTTTTGAAACACTGGATGTAAGATAAAAATTTATCCTTATTTTTAATATCATTCAATTGCAAAGGATGTATATTTTGATTTTAGTTTTAGGATTAATTTCTAGGTTTTCAAGTATTTTAAGGATTTTAGGGTTTTTCTTACATATTTGTTTACCATTCATTGGTTACCATTCCAGAGTACAACTAAGGATACTATTTACAAGTATTATTCAAGGGTTATTGTTCATGGGAATAGAATTGTCATTACAAACTTGTAATTAAGTAAGAACTTTTTGGGTTATTTTAATTATTATATGGATATTTAATGTCTTGAGCAAGAGAGTATGATATATATAAGAGGCATGTGGAGCCTTGAGGAGTTCATTCCACGTGACTTCCAGAAATTGAAAGAGAAAGAAAAACTTAGGCTTTTGGAACCCCTAGCTTTGGGTATGGAGAAAAATCTCCAAATTTTGTATTTGGCTGAAAAACCGTGTTCTTTTGATATTCTTCAAATTTCCCTACATTAAAACAGTATCAGAGCTCAAGGTTTCTTCACCAACAACGTCGGGAAACTAGAGCCAAGCATAGAGTTTGTAAATTTTGCACCAAGTTTTGCCAAATTTGCCTAGATCATGTTGTTTCAGCAAGTTTTTGTTGATTATTTGCTTAAGGTTCGTGATTTTCTTGAAACCATGACAGCACGAAGGGGCCATGGAAGGGGGGGGCCTCGTGGATCCACTTCATGATCCCAGAAATTAATAAATTGAAGAACTTAAAAGGAAAGTTCAGCAGTTGGCATAGCAGTTTGCCAGCATCATTCACTGGCAAGACGGTGATATTTCTGCCCAAGAAGATTTAAACTACAACCCTTTTCACCTCTGTGCCCTGCGTGAAGAGTCAAATGTACAGGAAAGTGATAGAAGACTTGACTTGAGGAATATCACTCTAGAGTTTTCAATTTGAAAGAGGATATATTTGATTTTGACACAGGTTGTATAAAAAATCAATAGGTTGTAGACTGGGATTTGTCACCAATCTTCAATACCTGACCAAATGAATAGCAAGACCTCTTAGGAGATCTGATCTATGATAAAAATCAAGATGAAGATGAAGATGTATCAGAAGAAGGTCTTGCTCGTGAAGAATATGGAAAGAAGGCAAAAAGGGAACTGATCAAAATCAAGGCCTTTGAAGATCTCAAGGATGTCAATGAGCTGGAGCACTCAAGAGATTTACAACAATGGAATCATAATAGCGCAACGAAAGTCTGGTTGACTCATAAACCGCAAATTGTGGCCCTGGTTTTAGAAAGTAATGAAATAAATGTTGAGAAAGCCTCTAAAGGCCAGAAAATTGAGTTTGAAGTTTCCTACACAATTTTCAAGGGAGTTCAGGGATAGCCAAATTTGATAAGTTCGTATCAATGACTTACTATACATTCCAGGATCTGTTTCTTTGGGATTTCTCTTATCACAAATAATATTGGAGCCAACAAAGAAGAAGGTTGAAGACAATGGTTTTCTCCGACCAGGGGCGAATGATGCACAACAAAATTATTCTTATTTTATATTTATTATTCAATTTCAAAGGATTTATATTTTCATTTTAGTTTTAGGATCTATTTCTAGGGTTTTTAATTGTTTTAGTGAAGTTTATTCTGATATTTTCATTTCCTATTCTCTAGCTGCTATTCATGAGTATCGTTCAAGGGTATCATTCAAGGAACTATTCAAAGGTTACTGTTCACAGGGGTAGAATTGTCATTAGAAATTGTGTTTAAGTTAGGACTTTTTGGGTCATTTTAGTTATTATATAGATATTTAATGTCTTTGAACATAGAATTAATACGTAAGAGGTGTGTGGGGCCTTGAGGAGGTCATTCCACGCAATTTTCAGAAATTGAAAGAGAAAAAAGAGATTAGGCTTTTGGAACCCTAGCATAGGGTATGAAGAAGAAACACCAAATTTTGCATGAGTTTGGCTGAAAAATCAAGCCCTTTTACTGTTGTTCAAATTTCTCTATATCACTTTTCAAGAGTTCTTAAGAGAAATAAACTAGATGTTATGTTCTTAAGGGGGATGGAATGAATCCTAGCAGCAATAAAGGTGATTTTTCACCCATGATTCAGGGTGGCCAAACATGGGTGGATGGCTGGGATTTAGCCACTCTAAACCCATAGATAACCTAATGGTACTAGATCGAAAGTTTCGTTATTCCCAAACTACCCCTAGGAGCTCTATAAATAAGGAACCCCATCCCTATTACTCCATACATCTCGAGAATCGCGAGATGGGCTTAAATCAGTGGTTCATAACTGAACCACTCAACAACTCTAGGCAAAAGAAGGCCTTGAGCGCATAGCCTTAGGGTAGCCGAGCACCGAGGGCAAAGGGACCTCTAAACACCCACCTAAGGGGCCAAGCTATTGTTGGGCTTTTTTGGCCATTTAAAGGTCTTACGAGAGCATGTAGTGTATTTTATAATAGTGAAAAAATAAGCTCCAGTGGGGATATGATCCAGAGGGGCCGAAGTAGGCAATTTTGATGTCGGGACTCAAACAAGGATTGACCAGCTAGGCCGAGTAGAGTTGCAAAACCCTATGATCCCTGGGCATATAGCACAACTGAGAAGCATTATCAGGGTTACCCCTTGATGAGGTCAAAGATATCCTCAGGGTAATTAGCCAAGGGACTGTGTGACCCTTGTGTGTGATTGGTAGGCCTGAAGAGACAAGGGTCATATCCTCATCATGACCATCACACGACATGTACATACGCTAGCCATATTGGAAAGTGACCACGATTGAGGATGTTGCATATACGTGCTAGAGATAGCCCCATGTACTACTTGCGATGTGTGTGCATGGGTCTGTATGACCTAGGCATCCCTAGAGGAAACATGTAGTCAGACTAAAATTGTGCTCTCGTCATCTATTGGCTAGCTTTTATGGACCCCTTTGATGGACTGTGGATCATGGGAACTACTAGTCAGTTTGAGAAAGTGAGTGTGGGACATAGTTATTAATAGAGATAGAATGCCTTAGTATTTTCATATTTTCCTTAATGAAGTTGGATCCAATTCCCATCAAATTAATTTGAAAATAATTAATTTGATTACAAATGATTTTTACAATTTTAAAATAAATTTTTAGAAGTCCCTGGATATTTTACTTCATCAAAATTAATTTTTAAATAAGCTAAACTGAATTTTCTGGTATTTAAATATTTAGAGAAGAAAATAAAATATTTATCTTTTTTCACAAATCATTTTTAGAATTCTAAAATTATTAAAATATATGGGGGGCCATTATATTCTATGGGCCCTGCCTTTCTGCCTCATTTTATGGAGTGCGTGGGGCCAACTAATGCCCATGGAGTGGCACACCCCACACTTCTCCCCTTCTTTCCTTTTGTGTTGGCTTGTGTCATAAGCCATTCAAGAGATTAAAACAAGAAAGGAAAGTTTTTGAATAGAGGCTAATTAAATTTTCAAAACTAGCATGTGTAGAGATTTATTAAAATAAAAGGCAAATGCATTATATTTTCTATACTAAATATTTGATGGGATTAGGTTAAAGAAGCTGAGAGATAAGGTTCTAGTACCTTCCATTAGATTATGATGGCTAATCTATGGATTGTATGGCTAAGATCTTTTACCCCACAGGTCAGCTTTAATCAATGGTAAAGATGAAATCTCCATAACGATGGCTCAACCCTGGAAACCCTAACCCTAGCCAAAGATCTATAAAATCTCTCACTGGGGCTATACACTATCTCTCCTCAAGGTGGCACGCCACCCTCTCTCTCATCTATTTATCTTTCTTTCTCCAACTTTCAAAGCCTCTCTCTTAGACAAAAAACAAAGGGGGAAGCCCCAACCTTTTGTAGAGACATAGAGGGGCACACCCCATACATAGTAAACCAAGAGAACGGCCTAGTTTTGGTCCACATGCTCTCATATCCATTGAAGGGTTTCTAGCCAAAGCTTCCCATCTTTGCGAGATCTAAGTAACGCCTTGATCTCGTTCGCTATCGATCGAGGAGACCCAGTGTAAGGTGTGCAAAGTCCAATCTTTTGGTATTTCATTTATTTTACTGCATTCTTATGTTTCTTGTTCCCAAGTTCAAGTTGATGTAATTTTTGGTAATGTAATGAAGAGTTGTTAAAGTGGTAGCAAGTGAGAATCCATATTTGAGTTCTTATTTGAACTTTTGTAAGTGATCTAGCTTGTTTAAAAAAGAATAAAATTTAACTATGTAGACCGTGCTAGTTCACTTTGTCCACGTTCAGCCACCGCCTCGACAGGTATATAACATAGCACCTTCACCATTCTTCTTCTTCTTCTTCTTCATCTTCAGAATGTCATGATGGGCTTAGAGCAGGGTTTCAAAATTCAGCTGCCCCAACTCCTAGGGGGGGCATGCCTCAGGCGCATCGTCTGGGGGTAGGGGTGCCTAGGGCAGAGGATCTCTTGGTGCCTACCTAGGTGCCTAAGGCACCTGCCAAGGCATGCACCTAGCACATTGGCCTAGGATCAAAAACTTGGAAGGATTCTTCTTCTTCTTCTTCTTACACAGCAAACATTTCGAGCGCATACACCTCTTCTTAACACGACATCAAACACTTGGAGTGCCAACACTGCATCAATCAATTGGAAGACATCTTAAAAACTCTCTCTCTTCCCACAACCACCCAACCACCCCCAACCCCCCCCCCCCAACCCTTGTTGCCTTTGGGGCACCTCGAACATAAGGTGCCCACCTAGGCAGCCAGGACGCTTGCTAAATATATAAGTTATGTTTCAGTGTGACCCTTGAATTGTCTGTTAGTATCAATCACCGATTCCAACAGATCCAGAAATAGAGCCTACGATTGAGGCATGCCAACAAACGCTTCCAAGTGATTTTCCAGTTTCCAGAATAATTGAATATGTAGTCAAATCTCTACAAGCCAGTAATATCCCTCTACCATAACTCTAGGATCAGGAATCACAATACTAAAATAATAAGGGAAAGCAACATGCATCTGCCAACAGTTCAAAACAACTCCAAGATTTGCCAGTGACACCAAGATTGGCAGTACAAGCACCACCGACATTGAGCTTCATGACAGCATATAGAGACTGGTCCAAGAAATGATAAATACATCAGGTCCAGGTCAAGTCTAGCTTGAACAGCTAGAACTGGAATCAAGTTATCCTCAAGTCTAACAAGGCAATGCGGCGCTAAACGGTCAACTAATTTCTAACAGTGAGAAAGCAATCAAGTAGCTAAGGGTTTGCTCAAAAACAAAACAATAACAAGCAGCTGTCTTAATTTAGCAACCAAAAGGTCAACTTTCTAACAGTTAGAAAGCAATCAATTAGCTAAGGGGTTTGCTCAGAAACAAAACAATGACAAGCAGTTGTTATAATTGAGCAACCAAATCAATATATTACACAACAAAACGATGATAGACAGTAATCTGAAGTGAGGAACCACGAAACATACTTGGAAAGTTTGCTTAAGGATAAAAAAGAACCTGCAAAAGTTTTGATGGAGGTAGCTTCACATTTATCATAAACTCCTCATTCCAAATAGGCTCTTTTGTCCTGCACCAAATTCATAAATTTCTCAAATATTGGAAGGTGTGACGCCTGGAAATTTTAAATTGTCTGAATCAGGGCTTCAGTTCCAATCAAAACTCATATGACTCAGGACTTCAGTTCCAATCAAAACTCAAATGACTCACAACTTAATGAGTTGAGTTACCAAGTACTCCATTTTTCTAGTTTTCTAAATGTCATCAAAACATGGAAGAAATGTTAGATATAGTTAAAATACACCACAAACATACGCATACTCTTGGTATTATTAACTTGTTGACTGGCAAAATGAGATTCTTGTCTTTCTATTAAACCGAGTTTGGAAAATGAGAAACGATAAAGAGAAGCAATCATTCGTTGCAAGATTTTTTTTTTTTTTTTTTTTTTGGAGAATGGTTAACTTTGGTATAGATATATAGATATAGTACAAAAAGAGCTAAAATACAGCACAAACATGTTGGAAATCAAAGAAGTGTAAGAAGGATCAAAATCTAGAAAGAGAGAGAAGGTTGAAGAGATAGATGAGAGATAGAGAGAGTCATGTGACGAAGAGAAGAATAGACTCACGGTGTTGTCTCTAAGACACCGACGCCCCAGTTATATGTATTTTATTACTAATAAAAGCTTAAAGTTACAAAAATGCCCTTAAGTAAGGGAAATGACAAAAATGTCCTCAAGGACTTGAATACAAGAGAAATAGATAAAAAACTTAATTATATACCCAGGTTGCTTAAAACTATTTGTAGTGGAGGTTTCCCCATAGCCTTCGCAAGAATATCTGCTAGCTGGTCATATGTTTTACCATATGGAAGACAAATTTCCTTAGTAGCAACCTTTCTCGAATGAAATGACGATAGACTTCTATATGCTTCATGTTCTTTTTGAAATGTAACTTCTATATGCTTCGTTATGTGCTGGAGCAAATTATGGGTTATAATGATAGTTGTCTTGTTGTCACAGTACAAGGACATTGAACTTTCACAGGAAAAAAATATCTCTTTAAAGAATTTTTAGCCAGAGGAATTCACATGCACCATTATCCATAGATCTATACTCAGCTTCTGCACTTGATCTTGCTACTACTGACGGTTTTTTTACTCCTCCAAGTCACAAGGTTCCTCCAACAAAAGTACAGTACTCCGATGTCAATCTTCAATCTACAATAGAGCCAGCCCAGTCTGCATCTATATAGGCTTCAACTTGTAAATGCCAATGATTAGCAAATAGCAGTCCTCTCCCTGGTGATGATTTTAGATACCTGAGTACTCTGATAGCAGCCTCAAGGTGGATAGTTCATGGGGAATGCATAAACTGACTAATCACAATCACAGCATATGCAATGTCTATACATGAAGTGAAAGGTATGTTAATCGACCACTAACCTTTGAGACATACCCACATCCTTGAGAGCTTCTCTCCTTTGGTCATCAAGCTTGTGATTCTGTTCTATATGTGTGTCAACTTTTTTAGCCCCAAGCTTTTCAGTTTCCTCAAGTAGATCCAATATATACTTCCTTTGAGAGATGAAAATTCCTCTTTTTGACCTAGCTACTTCTATTCCAAGAAAGAACTTCAGTGGGCCCAGATCTTTGATTTAAAATTGTCATGAGAAAACCCTTTAAGTTTTTAATTTCCTTAGGACAATAACCAGTTACAACAATGTCATCCACGTATACAATTAGGACTGCATATTTGATAAATGAAGTATGGTCAGCATGATTTCAAGTATTTTCAATTATTTGGACAGCCCCACTAAACCTCTCAAGCCAAACCTGAGGAGATTGCTTTAATTCATAGATGGCTTTTCTCAGTCTATAAACTTTCCTTTCACAACTAGGCACACGAAACCTAAGTGGAGGAACCACTTATACTTCTTCTTGCAATTCCCCATGAAGGAATGCATTCTTGACAACCAACTCGTATAAGAGCCACTCCAAGTTAGCTGCCGAAGACAAAAGTACTCAAATAGAATTCATTTTAGCTACAAGAGCAAACGTTTCTTGGGTCTATTCTATGTCTGAAAAAACCCCTTGGCAACTAGTCTCACCTTGTATCTATCAATAGTACCATCAGTATTGTGCTTTAGAGCATAAACCCATTTGTAGCCAACTAAATTCTTCCCTTTGGGAAGGTTTACCAGCTCCCAAGTGCCATTCTTAAGTAATGCCCTCATCTCCCCATACATAGCCTCCTTCCACTTAGGATGGGCGGATAGAAACATAGGACAAAAAGAACACAAAAATATGATAAGAAGGAGACAAGGACTCATCAGAGACAAAATTGCTAATTGCTGATCTAAAGAACTATGTTTACATTCCGTATAACAATGTGCAGATCCAAATGTTCACATTGCGAACTGATGAAAGCAGGATTAAGATTACTTAGGTCAAAGGTATGAGACTGGCTCCGAGCACGTCAACAACGGTAATCCCCACTTCTTTTCGTTTTCGTCAAGTATAGACTTTTAATTCATTTTTTTCAGTACCAACATCATATGATTGCCCTCCATTGTTCTCTTGCACTCAAGTCAAAAATAATAATTTAGGAACACGAAGGTGAATATGAGAGCTATCTCTGCAATGTGCTCCCCCTGAAGAAAGGCAAGGGAAAAAGGACTAGAAAAGGTTACATACATTAAATAAATTTCTTCCCAGATATTGGATTATAGCATTTGTAGCCCTTCCAAGAGAACGTTTCATCATCATCATCATCATCATCATTGTCAAAGCCTTTTACCAACTAATTGGGGTCAGTTAGACGAATCTTGATTCGTCATTCTACTCTATTAACTACCATACCCTTAGTGAGGCCATAAGTCACCATATCTCTTCTCTCTACTTCCAACCATGTCCTTTTGGATATAACCTCTACCTTTTTTTAGCCTTCCACTTTAACTAACTCGCACCCGAACAAGTATTGTACTAAGTCTGTGCCGCACATGGCCGGCCCACCTCAGTCTACTATCTCTCATCTTATCGCCAATTGTGCCACACCTAAATTTTTCCGAATGTATTTATTTGAATTCTATTTCTTCTTGTCTTGCCACTCATCCATCTCAACATCCTCATCTTCGCTACACTCATTCCATGAGTATATTGTTTTTTGACTGCCCAACATCCCACCCCATAGAGCAAAACTAGTCTCACAGTTGTCCTATAGAACTTGCCCTTTAGCTTCATTGGCATGCAGGGATCACATAAAATTCCAGTTGCACATCTCCACTTCGCCCACCCAGCTCTAATTCTACGAACGAAATCTTCCTCAATCTCTTCATTTTCCTAGATTATCAACCCAAGATTTCGAAAGTGTGCTCTTTTTGGTATTTCCTTACCGTCAATTTTAAGTACTTCCTTGTCTCTATTCCTATTATTAATTAACTTGGATTCCATATAGGTCGTCTAGTGCGGTTAATTTTAAAACCATTAGATTCTAGAGCATCCTTTTAAAGTTCTAACTTTGTGTTGTTGTCGTTTCTAATCTCATTGTTTAAAACTATGTCATATGTGAAAAACATACACCAGGGTACCTCGTCTTGTAGATGCCTAATTAAGTCGTCCATAACTAAGACAAAGAGGTATGGGCCCAATGCTGACCCCTGATATCGACCTATTGTCACTAAAAATACACTCGTCTCTCCACTAGTTGTTCGTACACTAGTTAGAGCTCCATCATACATATCTCTCACCAAATTGATGTAGTGTTTGGAGACACCTTTCTTTTCAATACGCACCAAATCAAATTTCGAGATACTCTATCATCAGCTTTCTCTAGATCAATAAAGACCATGTGGAGATCTTTTCCCTTCGCCCTAAACTTCTCAATCAGTTGTCTAAATAGAAAAATAGCCTCGGTTGTCGACCTCCCTAAAATTAAAATCGAATTGGTTTTCTAATACACTCGTTTCATGCCTTAGCTGTTTCTCATTCACTCTCTCTTAGAGCTTCATAGTATGGCTCATAAGCTTGATCTTTCAATAGTTCGCACGATTCTCTATGTCTCCTTTGTTCTTGTAAATAGGTACCTTCCAAGAGGAAGGTTAACAAAGGAAAATACATTTCACAAACTAATAGTCTAACTTTGTATGATTTTAGCCGAGAACATATAAGAAGCGCAAATAACCAAAGACCTTAAGAGGGACTCTAAAATGTGGGCGAGATAGAGTGTCGCAAGTGCAGCTTCATACCAATACTTCTTGGGTACATTCCTAATCAAGAGAAGCGCCAGACTCACTTCCAAACGTGTTTATTCTTTCTTTTAGACACCTCATCATCATCATCATCACCGTCTTTTTCCAATTCATTGGGACACTGTATCTCATCAATCGAATGCCCCGTCGTGTTTTAGACTACAAATCGCCCTATAAGCTACTCCTTTTAAACACTTGATGTAGGAAAATAGGTAGAAAGCAATAAAATCATCAAGAAAACACGCTAAATACAAGAAATAACAAGGAGAAACCCTAGGTTTCTTATTCAACCCAAGCTAGGGATCTTAAAGCCTAAGCTTTTCTTTCTCTTTCAATTCCAAAAATTACATGAAATGATCCCTTCAAGGCCGTACCACCTCTTATGTAATATGATTTAATATTCAAAGACATTAAATATCCATACAATAATAAAAATGACCCAAAAATTCTAACTTAAACATAAAATTCATAATGACAATTATGCCCCTGTGAACAGTAACCCGTGGTGCCCATGAATAGTAACTACTGAATAGTAAATAAAAAATTTAGAAGGTTTTTGCCCCTTAGGGTTATCTAAGTCATTTGAGTTTGTAGCGATTTTAGCAGTGTTCAAGGACTTGGCTGAATTACCCAAATTCAGCCCTAATTCAGCCCCTTGTCAAGCTGAGTACTCTGGTAAAACTCAGGGATATTTAAAAAATACAAATTATTTTAATCTGTAAAATCCATGTATAAATATTTCATACAAAATTTTAGTATTTTTTATAATGAATTGTGACTATTTCTTGTCATATAACCCATTTTCATATTTTCTATCTTTTTTGGATTTTTTTGAAATCTCTAGCTACAAACAAATTTTTATTAAAAATCCATGTTTTATATTTTTTTTCATTTTATTTTAACTTTTGACGTTATTTTGAGTTTTGTTTAATTTTTACTATTTTATTTTATTTTTAACAATTTTTTTATCTTTTCATTTTTTAGGGCTTTTTTTTTGGACTCTCTACACTACTTAGACCCGAGTTACCCAGCTTGGGCACGCCCAAGTCTTAGAGCCCATGACGAGGTTTTGAACATTGGATTTCAAAGGTAAAATGGGAAAATTAAGCAATTAGGGCTTAGGTTTCTTGGAAATCAAGTTAGCTATTTAGTGTTTTCCTTGTTTATTGATTTATTAGCCTAGGAAGGATAGACAAATGTTCGCTCTTTTTGGCTCCTAAAGGGACCTTATGTTTGGGGTTGATTCCTATACAGGCTCCTTAAGAGAGCATAATCACTCAATCTTTTAATTACGGGTTTATTTCTCCATTCTCCCCCCAAAATCATAATGTTTACGCAAAATGTAAAAGACTTGTTACAATGAACATTGACAATGCCAAATAAATGTGACATACAAAGCTAAACGACACATTTTTATAAATCTAGTAAAACCAATCCTCGCAGACGACTGCACTTCATCTCAAATTTCTCATTAATTTTTCTTTGCGCATTTTATGTATTTTATATTAAAATACCAAACATAGATGTAAAAGAACACATAATCGACTTACGCCCATTTGATATTGCTTTTTTCCACCTGATTATCAAATTGAATGACAACATATGGGTCACTTGTTCCCTGACAATTCAACAAAAGATATAAATTGTCATGGAAAGAATCATCAGTTGTTGGAATAAAAAGTGCATAAGAATGAACCTAGAAAAAGCTATTGTTTTATTAACAAGGAATCGTCAATAGTCAAATCACAAGTGCAAGATATCCACAGCAATTATTATTGCTTGGGCAATAAAAGTCATAAAGAAGATACCAATTTTATTTATCAATTGTCAAATTATACTTAATAGTATCAAATTCTAAGTATTATAGATGGCTAATGTTATTACTTACAATACACATAACACAGAAAGCACGAAAAAAACACATGAATATGATACAATTTTATAAATGGTTTTACAGATTAAAATTATTCAGATCTCAAGAAGTCATAAAGTGTGCCACTAAAATATTAAGAGAAGAAGAAAAAGGAAAAAAGGAGGAAGCCAACACATGCCCAAAGGTCCAATGCATTGTTGCATGAAACTCCACCTATAGCAGCAAAAGTTCCCAATGAATCACCGTGCAAGTGCTTTTGCTCCCATTCCCAAAGAGGATTTATGGCATTCAATCCGATAACCCACTCTTCCACTATCACAACAACCTCAGTGATGTAAAAGAACACCACTAGGCATGTGACCACCCACCCATGCTTGTCTAACTTGTGCAAGGAGCAAAACCCACTACCATCAATCAAATTTTCAAGTTCTCAACTCTTGAAGGGCCAATTTGGATGTACTCATTATCATTGATAATTCATTGTTTCAATAAAGTTAATTGTATCCATCATAAAAGTATCTGAGATAAACTTAGAGTCAGTTTTACATATAAATTTATATTATTAAAAAGTTGTTTTTAATTCATTCAAAGTAATTTGCTCAACATCACATGTTCTTAGCCAGAAATAGCTAAACTTAGCTAGAAATCACTAAAAAGTTAAATATGTAAATACAGAAAAAGTATATATAAAGTTGTAACCTAAAAGTTTAGATTTAAAGATGTACCTCAAAAATTCATCATGAAAGATTGTTTGGATCTTGGAAAACCTTCTAATTGATCCTCTCGACATTGAGATGTATGAATATGGAAAGGAAAAAGGAGTTCAAGTCTGCGAAATAGTGTATCTTGCAACATATTATCTGGACCGTCCATTTTCAATATTTTCATGTGTTTTTAGATCTACTTAATTTAAACCATTTTTGGGGTTTACAAAAAATTAGAGATGAAAATAGACTCTCAAGCCATCTTAAGAATTTTTCATATCAAAAGTACATTTATGATAAAATTTAGAGGTGTGCCTTGTTTAAGGTTGCAAACTTATGGAAACCACACCCTTTAAATAATATTATACATAATAGTAAGATACGTACCAAAGTTAATAAACTAACTTTTATCCAAAGTACATTAATTTAACATAAGATAATATATTTAGATAAAATTAACAATCATCCAAACAAGCCCTAAGTTCCAAAATCCTTCTCTAAGAGGCCTCTTATAAAACTACTTTTGTCGTTTTTCTAATTTGTGAGGGGTTTTCTCAATCACTCATAGAAAGTGTTTTCTCAATCACTCATGGAGAGTATTTAGGACAAAGAATGTAGCAGGACTATAGACAAGGAGAAGAGATGATTACCCTACTTCTCGTTATAATGCATAATGGACTCATTTTGATGCAAGACATAAGTATTCTTAGTTTTAATTTTTGTTAGTTTTCAAAGGATGAATATTTTAATTTTACTTTTAATTTTAATTTTAATTATAGGGTTTATTTTTTGAGTTTTAAGTTTCTTTGGGATTCTAGGTTTCTTATATTTTTAGGATTTTAGGACTTGTTCAGAATAGTAAGATTGTTTATGGAATATTTTGTTTATCAAGGTAAAAATGTCATTACGAAAAAAATGTATTTATGTTGGGACTATTAAGTCAATTTTATTTGGCTAAAGTTATTTTGGACTTTTGTATCCCAGTGAAAATATAAATAAAGGTGTGTGGGCCTGTATGGGGCATTCACATGGTGAAAAGAGGAAAATGAAAAAGGAAGCTTTTGCTCCATACTTAAGCTTCCCTTCAATTGGTACTTGTGCTTTTCTTGGAATTTGTTTAATTTTCTGGTTTTTTACAAATTTATACATCAATTGGTATCAGAAAACATGATTCTTAAGCAGAAAGGGCTGAAATCTTTGATCGAGTCTCGAATTTAGACTAGGGTTCCAGCCCAGAATTACTGATTTCAGCCCAATATTTACTAATTTCAGCCTAAAACTTGCAGATTTCAGCCTAGGGTTTGCTGATTTTATGCCTAGGGCTTGATTTTGGCGAACATATGCCAGATATGAAGAGATTAAGGATCTCAGAAAGCAGGTTCAGCAGCTTGTACAACAATTTGCAGATATCCATCATGGAAAAAACAGTGATCTTTCCACCAAAGAAGATGTCCAGGACAACCTTTTTCACCGTCATCCTCCTAAGGTGTCATGAAGGGAAGAGTGATAGAAGACCTAGACAAGGGGACAATACTCTAGTGTTTTCGATTTGAAGGTGGGCATTGATGATTTTCACGAGAATTATTTGACTCAACCAAGGGAGTGGTAATCTTGCTGCTTATAAGTACATATTGGTTTGTTATATTGAGGCGGCCGATCATGGAGAATCTTTGTTTCCAACAAGTCATATCCAAAATCAGCATGTTGTGGATTAGGATTGGCTGCCAATTTTCAATACATGCTCAGATGAACAAGATCTCTTAGGAGATCCGATCTATGATAGGGTTCAAGATGATGATCTCAAGGATATCGAAGAGGTAGAGAATTCAAGAGATGTAGGGCATTGAGATCAGAGTAGCACAGTAGAACTGTAGTCGATTCATAAACCACAAATTGTGGCCTTGGACACAAAGAGAAATGAAATAAATGTCGAGAAAGCCATTAAAGGCCAAGAAATTGAGTTCGAAGTCTCCTATACGATTTTCAATGCGAGTTCAGCATTCTTGATGATTTCTTCTTACCGTAATTAATTTTTAAGCTAATAAAGAAAAAGATCGAAGAAGATGGTTTTGTTGCTAAGTTCATCTTAGCCTGCTTTGAAATTCAAGGACAAGTTTTCTCCAACTAGGGGAGTTTGGTGCAAGACAAAAAAAATTTATTTTAAATTTTTGTTTGATTTTAAAGGATTAATATTTTAATTTTAATTTTTGGGTTATTAAGTATTTTAGTGATTATTCTAGGGTCTTTTTATATTTTTAGGATTTTAGGAGTTGTTTAAAAAAGTAGTTAGAGTAAAGCACATTTTGTTTTATTAAGGGTGAAAAAAAATTTATGAATTTTGCATTTAAGTTGGAATTCTTTAATCAATTTTATTTTGGCTAAGATTATTTTGGCCTTGTGTACCTCAATGCAAATATAAAATTAGGTGTGTGGGGCTGTGTGGTCATTCAAGTGACTTTGAAAAGAGGAAAAAGGAAATGAAGCCTTTATTCCCTAGTTAAAGTTTTGGGGAGGAAACCCGGTTCCTTCAATTGGTGCTTGTGCTTGTGCTTTGCTTGGAATTTGTTTGATTTTTGGTTTTCTTCATCAAATCTCTACATCACATTTGCATATAGCATTTAAGCAGCTGGATCAGTGATTGAAATTGGATAAATGATTGAAACTAAAACAGTGGAACACCTAGATGATATGAGTGCTTAGAGAGGCAAAGCATTACATAGAAGTCACAGAGAGAGAATATTTGATAAATAAGTAAATACATTTTCAGTTTGGCAGGAAGAAATCATACCCAAGGATCCATGGCAGGGAAATCAAAACCCTTTTTCAACTTAATAAGCAACTGCCCATCATATACCTCACAAAGAAACTGCCTGAAACAATGAGGAATATGCACAAAATGGGATGAACAATCTTGCTGTAAAACTCTTCCAAAAAAAAAAAAAGCAAGAAAATAAAACCAAAACAGCAACAATAAACTATTCTTGCAGTTTCTTAGTATCTAATAAGATAATAAGAAAGTTGTGTTAATCCCTTTCTATATTGATACACAAAGTTGCACTCATATTCTCATCCATAAATCACGAATCAATACTATCCAAAAAAACAATTACCTATAGTCCCTCCTCTTCAAAGAGCAAAAAATAACCAAAAAAAATAAAACTACTACAGCTTCAGTGCAGCTCCTCTAAAGAACACCACGATATAAGAAAACTATTAGAAATACGGCAGAGAACTCTCTCTTTATTGATTAATAAATAATATATTGATTAATAAAGAATATACAAGACCCGTATAAATATACAGCTAGTAACAATTCTGGATAGACACCAACAGTTCTGGATATATATGCTAACAAAAACCACTACAGATGTACAGTAGCGCAGCAATCAGAGCAATTGAGGTAGGATATCCACCCGATAAAGGTATAGAAAAGCGCATCATACAAATCTACATATTATTTGTACATAGCACACTTTAAGAAGATCAATTACTAGAAGAAAATTGAATTTGGCGCCAGCAAGAAGAGAGAGAGAGAGAGAAAGAGAGAGAAAGCCTTACTCAGACAGGAACACTGTTTGACAATCAGCAGGATCAACTGCACGAATCCCTACATTTTCCTATAGAAAAATTCATAAATAAAAGAACAATACATTTCTAAATGATACAAAAATTCAAATTCCACTATAATCTCCATGAACATACAGGTGGAGTTGTGTACGCTTCAAAGGCGAACCCTGCAAGCACAACTGCGAGGTTCAGATCAAAAGAAGGCGAATCGCCATCCTTCTCCAACGTGCTTACACTACTTTCAGAAGCCTCTGCATGTGCCCTGAACAAGCGATAGGACATGGAGCCTGAGCTCCTGCGCTTTGGGTGAATATCAAAAGAATTGAGCTTCACAGTAGAGGGCCTTTTAGGATTAGGGTTAGGAGGGAGAAAGAAGTTAAAACCATGGTTGCAGAGGAAGGGTCTAGGGGAAGAGGAAGAGAGTAAGCAAAGGAAGAGAGGAGGAGTTTTGCAGAGCTTCAAGGTATCCATGGATGGAGGGGGTCAAACAGAGAGAGCAGCAGCAGTACAATGTAGAGAGAGAGAAAGAAATCTCGAGCAGGGTGTTCAGAGTCCACACACTCATAGAGACCAGAACGTTAGCCAACCAGCTCCAAGTACCTTCCCGCTGACGCAATCCGAGAAAAAGTAAAACAAAATAAAATTTTAAAAGAAACATAAATGTATGGGAGGAGTGGCTATCGATAGGGTACGGTTTGTATACAGCCGAGGTTCTAAACAAATTACAGCACTCCTTCAAATACGGTAGAGGTTTCAATATTTAAAATATTTGTGATAGCTTTAAAACATATTTTTATTTTTAATTATAAAATTTAAAGCTTTCATATCTATCAAAATTTGAAAATCTTGAAAATTGACAGTCCAAAAATGTGATTTATTTTTATTTTTTAATATCTATACATCTTGATGTTGAGATGATCAATTTAAATACAATCTTTTTTTTTTTTTAATGTCTATACATCTTGATGTCAAAATGATCAATGTGAAGATATTAAAAACCTCGACCCTATATAAACCTTCTCCGTAATTTGAAAAGGCTTTGGTTTTTCGTACTCCCTTGCGAGTGGGGAGTTGGGACCATTGCCCCCGTTCCGTCGCACGGTAAAGCGCAATTTATTGAGGACAAGCGAAATCCACGTGAGTGTTTTTAGAAGCATGTCGCACAGATATGGAAAATTATTTGGTTAACCATTTTGGTTAATTAAACACTAGCGGGTGGGGTGTGCTCCGCATGTATAAGCGTAAATTTAATTGAGGTAAGTTTGAGGTAATATATATCGGGATTGATAAAAAAACAAAAAAGTAAATATGGGGAATGATCTTATGAATTTTCAATACAATATATTATAGTGTATAAAATATTCCATACTCTTTTGATAAATTCCTTGGGCCTATGCTCTTTTCTCACTGTCCCACTTTTAATTGTAACAAAAAGTACCCATCATAAACTTTTAATTGTAACAAAAAGTACCCATTATAACCTCTTTTATCTCGCTTCTCTCTCTAACTCAGAGCTCTCACTTCCGCTTGCAATCTCGCTCGTCAAAACCGAACATATTCCCCCACTTGTAATATCTCTACAAAACAAGATTAAAAACCATGTATTGCTCCTTAAAACTATATTGAAAAGCCCATCTCTCTTTCTACACATACATCCACTAAAGAGCGGAGCTAACCCCTGATTGAGTCGCAGCCTTTCTCCCTCTTTCTCGCCATCTTCAACCATTAAAAGAGCTTAGGTGATGCACCCTCTTTTTACACATGCGGGCTTTTTCTTAACCTCATTTTGCCCCTTCTTTTTAAGTACTTGTATTGCCCCTTCTTTTTACACATGCGGGCTTTTTCTTAACATCATTTTGCCCCTTCTTTCCACCATCAATGAGAAGAAGACGGGGAGAGATTTGTAGTTTGAATGAGAAGAGAACGGCAAAAAGGTAAAAATACAATTTGAGTTGAAATACCTTTATTAGATAGGGTGACATACAATTGTAGTTTAAGTCATGTTTTGACATTTACTAGATAGGGCGATATCTAAAATGGACGGTCTAGAATACACATCTACACTAGCAAGGTGTATTGAAAATACCCAGGATCATTCCCCATTAGATAGTTGTGTAAATAAGGGTGTGTGTGAAGGAAATGAATTTTTTTTTTAATTATAAATCTTTTTGTGAGAAATATTTTTTGTTTTTATGATGAGGCATTGTATTAGATGGATATGTTTCATTTTCACGTCAAATAATCAATCAATCAATCAGATTTGTAATTCTTTTAAGCATAATCTGCTATCTATAGAAATAAAAAAATATATATATAAAAAAAAGAGGTTGCGGTTTGTATAGAGCCTAGGCTCTAAACAATAAAATTAAAGCCTACCTTCAAATTATGTTGAGAAATGTGGTTGTAATATTGGAAATCTTTGTGACAGCCTTAAAATATATTTTCATCTTTATTTGTAAAGTTAAAGATCTATGAAAACTTGAAAATCTTGAAAATTAACTGTCCAAAAATGCGTTACGAAATACACTATTTCCAAAACTTGAAGTTCATATTTTTCTTATGTCCATATATATTGATGTCGAGATGATCAATTTGAGGATATTTGAGAATCAAAACAGCCTCTTTTAGTGAAATTTTTAAAGTAGGCTCTTATTTGATGTTTTAAAGCATCGGCTCTATATAAACTTTTCCCTACAAAAATTATGGTGTATTTTTAGGTTGGTTTTTCTTTCAGAGCAATGATATAGAATTATCTTTCCCCAAAGTATTTTGCAACACATAAGTAGGGTTTCTAATTATTGAAAATGTGAAGTACAGTTAAAATATTTAGCCGAAATATTTGAAAGTTATGAAACTATTTTTCTAATAAGAAATACTCTTATTGTGTATTACAAATCATATTTAGTAAGGTTGTCAAACGTCATACCAGAAGTGATGATGAAGTAACCATATAAAAAACCAAATCTGAGACTTAGTTATGGAAATCAAAGGATTAGTAGATCTTTGTATGCAAGGAAAAACAGTACAACTCTGCATAATGGATGGAGGTATGAGCATGGCTTGCCAGAAATTGAAGTACTGATGTATTGATGCAGTGAAATTTTTTCATTTTTTTAATTTGATTTGCATCTTTCCATTTATGGTACTTCAAATCACAACTTGATGTATGCCTCCTAAATTGGTAGATGAATGGTCTATTTTCCTTTCCCTTTTTTTTTCTCCCTTTTGTGTGAGATAAATAAATATTTTTTTATTAGAAAACAATAGATGAAGCGCATTTATGAAGAATGAAAGATTTAGGTACAAAAAATTCCTCATGCATATAAACATTCAATTCCATATTCTCTAGTTTTCTCTCTCTCTCAGGCATAACAAACATTCTAGAGCTTATCGTATACAAAAAAAAAAAAAAAATAGTTTGGTCAACAATTCCAAACACGGGACGGAAGTTGTATTGGCATCCTAACGGATTCACTGCATTTGTGCATTCCTGACTTTGAGGACGTGTTTGATAACAGAAAGTATCAGCTTGGAAGTTTAGAACTTCTTAATACTGTTCAAGTTTCGTGTTTGATAAAAAAAATTGAACTTCAAACAAAACTTCAAGGAACTGTTCAAGTTCCAATCTTGCTTTAAAAACAAAGTTCCAACCCAAGGGTTGGAACTTAAACTTGGAACTTTTTCTTTTATGAACCCCCCTCCCATATATAAAAAGTATATATTTTATTGAATAATACACAATATAATTTATTGTATAATACACAATATAATTTATTGTATAATATATAATATATTTTATTATATATTACATTTTATTATATTTTATATTTTATTTATATAATAGATATTTATAATATTATATAATAAAAATATATTTAATGTATAATATATTATATTATTTTATATAAATAAATATATATATATATTATATATTATAATAAAATAAATAAAAAGTACAAGATTATGTTATTCACATATATATTATTATATTATTATTTATGTATATTATATAATAAAAATAATATATTATATATTATACTTTATTTATATAGTAGATATTTATAATATTATATATAAAAAATATATTCAATGTATAATATATTATATTATTTTATATAATATATATATATATTATAATAAAATAAATAAAAAGTACAATATTATGTTCTACACATATATATTTTATATTATTATTTTATGTATATCATATAATAAAAATAAAGATTATAAAATAATTCACTTTATAATATATCTTATATAATACAAATATATATATCAATAAAATAAATATAAAATACACTATATTATATTTTACATTACTTTATATATGACATATGTATATATTTTATTGTATAATAGAATAAATATAAAATACAATGTATAATATACTATATTATTTTAAATAAATATATATTATATAATAAAATAAATAAAAAATACATTTTAATGTTATATATATATATAATGTAATGTAAAATATAGTATAGTGTATTTTATATAATAAAATAAATACAAAATACACTAAATTATATATTGTACTATGTTATATTATATATATTTATCGAAAAGGTCATTTATGGCATGGTAAAAATTTATTTCTTGTTGATGATGCTGTCATTTTTGTTCCATATGTGTGTTCATCTGTTGTAGCAGAAGTTTTTCAATCTCTAGGTCGCACTCCATTGTGTTATAGATCTTTAAAAATTCCACCTGGCTGGCATAATGAAAAATGAATTAGAGACAAAGTATAAATATATAAATATATCTAAGAAAAACCTAATTGTTATAGGTATTTTAATTTTTTTCGTGTATATAGAGAGAGATCGAAATACTTATGTTCTGATTTCGCTAGTGCATCGAGAAGGGCTTGTCTTCTTTTTGGTTGAATTTAATTCAAAGTGCCATCTTCCATATTGAATTCGTCTGCTATTTTATGACATAGAGAGTTTATGTAATCTCTATTGAGAATCTGTTGAGAGTTTTACAAATAAATAAATGAGTTCTATGATAAAGAAGCAAAGAAAAGAAAGAAATGTTTTACAATAAATTTGTAACTAGGGAACCCTACGTATATATCAGTTATAGTTTCCGTTATTATTAAAATACCAAATAGTTTATGTTATTACTGGAATGTCTGTTTTTTCACTTCATAATGAAAATTTTTTAAAAAGATTTTTTTTATCCTTTTTTGGTTTTTGAACAACTGAAATGGCTAGAACTTCGGTTGTTCAAAAACCAAAAATAAGCTAATTTTGGTTATTGAACCACTGAAAATAGCGGCGGTCGTTTAAGCTTCTGGAATACGTAGTACTTTCGGTTGTTCAATAGAAAATATAGCATTTTTGGTTGTTGAACAACCGAAAATAAGAATGCAAATTCTAAGCTTCTATCATATTTTCAGTTGTTGACATTTTTGGATGTTGAACAACCGAAAATATAACATTTTCAGATGTTGAACGACCGAAAATAGGACTGTGTATTCTAGCAAGCTTCCGGACTACACAATCATATTTTCAGTTGTTCAACAACCGAAAACAAGACATTCTCGGATGTTGAAGAACAAAAAATAAACATGCAAATTCCAAGCTTCTGCCTATTTTCGGTTGTTCAAAAACCGAAAAAGGGTAAAAAA